TCAATACTTGTTCTCGTTCCATAATTACATCACCATTTATAGGTTTGATACATCGACTAGCAGTGCATCCTCCTTTACATGTGATGTCTTTGATATTCCTATTCATTGATGTAACATTTTTATCCTTTTGTTTACTAATTCTATACATATTTAATTAAGCCATTTTTCCTTTTTTTCATTGCACATTAATCAAATTATTTTGTCAAGTTTCTAACACTCTTCCATACTATGGGTTTTCATCCTTTTTCTATCTTCCATGAGCTCAAGGATTTCATTCATCATTCATTTTTGTTTGTTTTGCCTTAATTTTAATGGAATAAACTCCTTGGCTGTTTCAACTAGTGCCTCTTTAAGAATTATTGATTTTGAGATATTTTCTTCATCTTCATCTGTTATTGAAAACAGTTTTTAACTGCAACTGTATATGTTTCTTTAATCAGGTCTTTTTCCATTAGAATTGTATAATTGAGCCACTTTGCCACTTATGGCTTCTTATGTTTCTTCAACCCTATCTTGATGTTGCATACTACAGGGACATGGTTGCTCTCACAGTCAGCCCTTGGGTAAATGTTTGATTATTGTACTGCATTTCTAAATCTTCTATTGATTGTGATGTTATCAGTTTGGTTTCTAATAATATTTCCAGGATTTTTCCATGTATACCTTCATCTTGGATGGTTCTCAAACCATGTATTTGTAACAACTTGATCATTTCTAACACTCCAATTAATCTATTTCTCTTCTCTTTCATTTTTCTCTCAAAGTCTATGTGGTTCAAAGGTTTTGTCTATTTGCTTACAAACAACTTTTGCATTTAGATCTTCCATTGCTATGACCACTTCTTGAGGTTTGCATTGCTTTTTCACTTTATTAAGGTCTTCATAGAAATTATCAATGTCCTTTTCCTCATCTTCAATTGTTGGTGCATACACTTGTATTATTAAAATGTCGAAAGGTCTAGTCTTTATTTTCACAAGCATCATCTCTATCAGATATTTCCCAAAATTCACGCAAACACATTGAATTTTCATCATCCAAAATCAACCTAACTCCTCTTTTGTGCATCTGACCTCCTGAAGACATGATATTCCTATCTTCTGTAATAATAATTTTAGCATCTTTCCAGTGTGTTTCACACAGACCTAGAATATTGATCTTTGATATCTTCGTTTCTTGCTTGACAGTAAACAGTTTTCCAATTTGGTGTAGAGTCCTCACATTACACATTGTGCCACTTTGACTGCTCACTTCTAGTTGTGGAGAGTAGCATGCTGACCTTCCTTACTGGGTGAGGTGGTCTCCCCATTTCTGTCAGGGACCCCTTTAATGTCATTGTGTTTTTTTTTATTCAAGAAATACCATAGATTATGCTTGGCAAAATACTGCAGCAAGTTGCTATGTTTAAATAACTTGAGCAAGTCTCCTAGTCGTTGTTTGACATACACTCTGACTGGACTGTTTGGAAGGGTTGTCTAGGTTCATTAGTTTCTCTTTAGTGAAATTTATTACATTTTCCTTGATGCAAACATGCAAAACAGTGGTGGATTTACAAAATGCTCATCTTTATATCCTGAGTCATCTGTCATTTCTTCATTTTCTATGTTCTTACCTTTGGGAGTTTTTCTTATCAGTTCATTGCTTTTTTTTGCTCCATGCATTTTCTGTCAAGTAGTCAAGGCCTTAGTTGGTCATCTCCATTCATTTAACATTGCCTTCCACTTTTATATGGATGATTGGCTTTTTTTTCTCCTCTTTTGTCCATTTGGTTACTGGAGTTTTGGATCATCACATTTCAGGGGATTCTTCAGTCATCTCTTATGCACTTTCAGGTCTTGGAATTTCATGTACACAAACTTTTGTCTTCTACACCTAATGTTAGAGGCATCCTTTCTTCTCTGGGGATAAAGGTTTTAATTTATGTTATCTCAGCATGTTTACAATTGAGCATGTCACATTCAATATGTGGTGATCGTTTTAGTGGATTCTCCTTCCTGAGAGCTTTATTAACCTTCCTGTAGGGTGGATCCCTCCCCTGGTTTTTCATTGGTTATCCAAATGGTTACATTATCTGTTAATCAATGCCATTTCACTGGTGGCTAACAACCTTCTTCCACTCTTCTGGTCTCTATACCTGGATCCAGCTTCCCTGGCAGGATGCCTTGTGTTAAGATTGAGAAAATTTATCCCTTTGCACTTACCCTTCTCTCCATCTTCTGTCATTGATATTAGCCAGAGTCAGTTTTATGAAGTGTTGAGTTCTCTTCAACATGCCATTTGTCAGGCCTAATCATTGTTTCTCCAGTTTTAATTCTTATGAAGAATAGGTTATGTTGTCATCTTTATGGGAATATCTTCTGTGTCAGTCTCAGCCTTGAACATCCATTTTTCTAATCAATGTTAAATGTCCAAGGCTTCAAGACTGGCTATTGTTTAGTCCTTTGTCACAAGATACAAATGGAGAAGCTGTATTCTTTTTCAAATGGCTTGAATGCTAGCCCAGTTTTGCTGAAGGTCATTCCTTGCTGTCTACTGGTCTTGTTGAGCTGTTTTCTGAAGCTGATGCAGTCAACATTCTATATATTATCTTTCTCCATATCCTCAATAAACTACTTTCCTTTTCATGTATTTGTTTCCTGAGGATGCTTATCAGCTTCCTTTATTGCAGGCTATAGAGCCATCTTATTTGCCACCTTTTAACTTCATGGGAGCCATCAATCTCTTTTATCCCCATTGTTCACAGATCTCTTCTGAGTTTTTTGTTTGCAATATTCCAGAGTTCCTTGACACTGTCCAAAGTGAAATTTATGTTTTTTAACTTCTTTTTAAAATGTTCACTTTATCACCTTTTTATCAAGATATAATTTTTACTATCTTGCTTGCATTGAGTAGAAGACTTTCAGATACTTTTGTCTGTATTGCATCACATACCTTATTTTCTTGGAAAAGTTCTGTAGTTTTATATTTATATCCAGATTGTGCCTTCCAAACAAAGACATGGGTTAGGAAGGAAGGTACCCACTCTACCTCAGCTATTGTGTTTCTTTTTCTGACTGACCCATTTTCTTGTTCAGAGGATTTCTTTTTTTATGTCCAGTCAGGGCTGTTCAGAATGAATCATTCAGTTGATCTTGGAACAGGTAATTATTATCTTTATATGAATCACACTCCTCAAATATTTCTCTAACAACTTTAATAAAATGGCTGTCACAGTTGATCCATTTGTTTTACCATAACGTACCCTATCACCTGATGAGTGAAGTTCAGCTTTCAGCTCACCATATTTAACATTTGGTGACACTTTCAGCATCAGTATCTTTCAGAGGACATTCCACAGGTCAGTAGATAGACAAATCCAAATTTAAATTAAACTTTTACTCCCTCAAATCTCTGTCTTTTCAGCTTCTGGATTCTATTTGATTTCTGATTCTCCATTCCAGTTGGAATTTCTAACAAGTAAAGTTGTTTACATTTCTTAAAAAAACAGTTCATGGTCTCTCTCTTTCTCTCTTGTAACACAAGGCTCAGTGTTTAGGTAGAGTCTTTCAGTTGGGACTCTTGTAGGTTATTTGTGATTGTCCTAGAAACTATACATCTGGAAAAAAGTTAAGCACTCCCGTGTTTTTTTTCAAGTGATTCAGATTTGACGTTCTTGTGACTGATTATAAATTACCATTCAATCTAAAACGTGTTTATCAAATGAAATT